AGAGTGGAGTCACCACCCCTGAAGGGATTAAGAGACTGCGGACGAGGTGCTGAAGGACGTGGTTTAGTGGTGGCGTTAGCAATGTCAGGTTAACGGTTGGACTTCACAATCTCAAAGGACTTTTCCAATCTAAAAGATTCTATGATTCTAAAGGCTAATAATGCCTCTCTGCAGAATTACTATCCCCCAGTGCTGACCCTTGTTGAGGGTGCGTATCCTCCCGGGCATATGCCTGCACACACGTGGGGTTTAGAGAGAGCAGTCACGTGCAGTGACTTCCAGAAAGCCAGCCTGCCACTGAGCAACCCTTTCTGGCCTGCGCTGGCAACACATGGCCAGCCATTTCTTACAAGTTGCTTCACAGAAAGCTACTCAAATCCACGGGTAAGGTTTTCTAGCAGAGGATGAATTTTGCTAGCAGAGGGCTCCAAATTAAGCATTACCCGTTTTTCTTTCACAAGAAAAAGGGGGATTTGAAAACACAGAACTAGCAGGCAGGCTGTACCTCTGCAGCACATGGCACCCGACCAAAACATCAGCGCACACGCTTGCCCGCAAAGCTAGGCAGCGGAGTAGGAGATGCTGGCATTACATTTTTTAGCAATTAAATTAAATTCACTCCAACTCTCCGTCAGATCCTCAGGCTGACTTCAGCTTCATCATCACAAACACAACTGGAGGACAGACACAAAGGCAACTGGAACGCGACTTTGCCTTGAAAGGAAACGGGAGAGCAGAGGTAGGAGTAGTTTAAATAATCTGAGGTGATAAGGCCATCTACAGTCTTTGAGTGAGATGATCCCAGTGAAGTCACCACTCACATCTGAAGAACGGTGTACGCTTTGTAAGTTTTCATATTCCTGTTCTACAGTAGTGCCAAACAGAGGAATATATTTTAAGCACCTGGAGATATTCCCTAACTCTGTTGGTCGTATCAGATGGTTTTCTACTACATTTGCTGCTTTTTCTTGCTATAAGCCACTATGCAAGTCACCTAGATTGTTTTAACTACAAAGCGCTCCTTCCTGTAACAGATACAAACCTTAATGAAGTAGTTTACCCCAGCAACCACCTGACTCCTATATTCTATGGCTTCAAAGATGTCATATGTGCAGTTTTCCATGTTTTCTAATTGTGGCTTCACCTGTAAAAAGAAAGGGAAAAATGGTTGGCAGGTTCGTATTTAGGCTTTTCTTTCCCATTTACCGCTCCAATTTTCATCCTTTCAAACACACGCCCTTAATGAAACGAACCCAGAACTCCTGCTCCTCAGGACGCGCTTGGCACCCTCTGAGGTGCTGCCGTGCGGCAGGGCACCACAGGATCTGCAGGGGTGTTGTTCCCACAGCTGCTTCCAGGACAGGACGGCTGGCTGCCGGTAACTAACCCCCTTGGCAGCCGGCGTGGTCCTGCCTGCCCTTCCAGGAGCCCAGCCTCATCCTGCTGGCTCGCCAGCAGCCCCTGCTTCCCAGCCGTGAGGGTGGACAACAGCACATGCCAGCAGAGAACACGCCATTTATCCATCACTTGTCCTGCACACTATCTTTTTTTTAATGCGTGCTACCACCTTTTGTCCTATCCATGTCCTTCAGTCAGGAATTCATCCTACCAGGTACAATCTCCTGCCTTCAACTACACAACCTCCGATTTCCAACAAGCGACCTCCGTGCTGGCACGGAACAGTTGGGCTTCAAACTACAGGCAAACATTAAGTGCAGGTAGCCAGTCCTGTGCCTGGCTATGGGCGAGGACGAGCCAGGCGAGTGGTTTGTCCCCGTCTCACCGGTAACACTGCCTATGCGGAATGATGAGAAAACACCGGCAGTCGAGGGAATTCCCGTTCGCAGCACGAGCTTCTTCAGTTTAAACACTGACGCAGCATCACCACCCGGTCTCCCAGCCTGTGCACCAGCTTCTGAGACTCAGCCCGTGGCACACAGAGGCTTCATCCTCAGAGAGATGGCAACTCACCTTGTCAGCAATAAGCTGCACTTCTGGAGTAGCACACTTGGTCTCAGATAAGCCCCCCGGCATCATAGTGGCAGGCAACTTGTGTGAAAACACAGGTGATTCTGAAGAGGGATGTTCAACGCAGTCTGAGCAGAGTCATCAGGCATCTCGTATATATACATACACATGTGTCATGGCATCATATGACTCGTAACATATGGAGCCTACCATTGCTGAACTGGAGGAGAGAAATGGGGAAAACGGGGAAAAAGCAGTGTAAAGTCTGATAATATTAATACTAAATACAAAAAATACTTCAAAATCTTAAGTGTGTATCGTCTCCACATCAATAAGAAAAGCAAACAACAGTTTCCACCCACCCACATCTTCAGGTAGTTGGTTTGGGCTGAAACTAGAATCTCTTGCCTCCCCACCCATGCGGGGGTGACTAGTCTGCGCACTTAGGAAATGATCCCAGTCACACCCAGTATTTCCTAACACCGCTCGAGATCAGGAAAAAAGCATGCGGTACTCTCCTGGCCGCAGGTCCCGTTCAACTTGAAACCGCGTTGCCTCAATTTCCTTCCAAGCGGGAAACAGAAGCAGATTGCATTTTACTGTCAGTGGCTTTACTTCCCTCTGCCTGAGCAGAAAGGTAACAAGGTAAACACCAGAAAGAAGGGGAAAAAAATCAAATCTAGGTTCGGGTGAGTACCACAAACAAGTTATTTCTGCTTCTTTCCTATCAAACCCATAGCTGCATTCAGGCAATGCTGACAACAACAGATTGTATGCTACCGTTTACGTTCCCATTGCAACTCCAGTGCCAATTTCCTGGAAGACAAAGTCCGGCGCCTCTCACCACAGTAGGTGTGTGCGCAGTAGCTGTTCCGATTCCAAGGCACTTCTATCTGACACGCTGCTGAAACACGTAACGTGCAGGATATACAGTCGGAGGGATTCATTCTGCGGTTACAGTCACAGACACGTGACACGTGACTGTATGTGAACGTACATGACTCTATGTGAATGTATGAATGCACATACATGACTGTATGTGAACATACAGAGCCCAAAACACATGCAACCTGCTGAGGAAACTGTTGTCAGCCCCACTTGGGAAGGGAGAGCTAACACCTCAAGAGCACGGATAAAACTTCCCTCCTGTATTCCTGTTATCCCCCTCTCCAGCAGACGGATGTTGTTGGAGCACAAGGACCAGAGAGGTAACAACAAACCACACCATATTCAGTCCCCGGGGTGGGCGCAGGGGAACACGTGCTGCGCACAGGCAACGTACACCTCCGCTGGAACCGGCACAGGGAATCGCTGGGAACAAGCCTGTTCATGGCCGCAGCAACGGTGACTGCGTAGCGCGGGCTTATGTGTGTCCGGACCAGCCTACCGACCCTCCTCGTGGGTGACACGCGAGGAGACAGTAAACGAGTACATCATATCTAACTTTAAGGCCTGTTCTGGGCACAAAGGGCCTGAGATTGAGAAATTGGGGCTGTAAGGGCCCTAAAGGCAACGCTACACAAATCGAGGCAAGAGCACGTTACCGATAAGGATGCTGCAGGATTTCCCAACCTTGGTAGCAAGGTTACAGGGGTGGATGAAAGGCATCTGAGGAAAAACAGTTGTCCTGAGACATGAAAGGCATCTGAGGAAAAACAGTTGTCCTGAGACACCACCTTTCCGAACGAAGAGAACAATGTTCCCAGTTCTTGGGAATAAAGGGAATGGGAGGCGTAAAAGCTGGAAGCCTGCCATTTTCTCCAAACTCACCACTGCAGATACATAGTTCCTCACAGCCCAATTAGTGGAGTTAATGACAATTCCAGCTCATGTTCTCAACCCCCTTCTTTTGCACAAGGCCCTGCCGATTCACTCACTCGCTGATCACCTTCCACCACGCTGCTACCAGGCGTCTCGTTCGCACAGCAGGACGGACGGGCCAAGGAACCGGAAGGGCCAGCTCCCCTTCCTCAGGCCAGAAGCCGCAGAATGCGTCAAGCGACTGCGCAGCACCGGCGCTAAACCCGGGGATTTTATAAACTTCTCCACCCACCAGGATGCAGATCTCACCAGCTCCCTCGGGCAGGGATGTCGATGAGATCCCCGAGGCAGCACTAACCCTCTGGAGAACTGATTCTGATTAGTGAGGAATACACGGAGCACCAAGGCCAGGAGGGTTAGTTTATAATCTTGGGAAAACTCTAGGCGTGATACTGAAGACGTTAACACCGTGTGGAAATCATTCCCTGGACTCCATGTTTCTGCGTTTCGACTTCAAGAACATCCCCCTCCTCCCCAAGATGCAGAGTTGTGCAGGCGGGAAAGGGAAATCGGCACTAGCTGTCAGCAAGCTGATGTTTACACAGGCGAATCCATCTGTTTTCTTCCCGTGGGAGTGCTACGGGCTGTCCCCAAACCAGTGTTATTTCTAAGATCGGGATGCAGTCCTCATCCCGCACACGTCACTCGCCAAGTCCCTTTGAAACGCCGGCGTTTCGCAGACCTGCTGTCAAAGGTGCTGGCTGGCGACGGACTACCCTAGGCAACCCTCATCTCCGCCTCCCTCTGCTCAGCTTGGGATGTAACCAAACCGCATTCGGAACGCTGCCTTGGAAAGAACAGCCCCCGTCCCGCCTCTTGCCCAACGCTGACGAGCTAGCGCGCGTCTCCACGTCAGTATTCGGGACGTGTTTGTTGCTACACACCGTTCCAGCCTACACCCACCAACGGCACAGATGGAGCTTCACTTCACTGTACCGCTGTTAACTTTGAGAAGCTGTGCTGGGAGAGCAGCACGACTATTCTTGATGGTCTTAAAGCCGAGTAACGCCTTGCACCACGTGCTGTTCCAGTAGCGGAGAAACAAATCTTGACAGCTTGCAGGCCGCTACTCTCTTGTCCCGCACGAGCAATTTTAAGAAGTAGAAGCTATAGTCATGTCGTGGTTTAACTCCGGCTA